CTGCTAATATCTCCCGCTTGTTGGTATTATCTCCTTCTGATGTTCTGACTACAGAAGGAACTGCACTTAGCATTGGCATCACTAGGGTTGTCATTACCTGGTGCGGTAATTTATGGTGTCGCCCTCCCCCTTGACCTCCTCCCATATTACACCATGCAGAACCTTTAGTAATGGTTTTTGTACTGTTATTTATAGATTATAATTCCCATATACCACTGAGTGTAATGGTAATAGTAATAGCCATAGAGTCTTTGCTTGCCTTCAAAAATAGTAATACAGTATAGGTAATCATAATGGTAATAGAGAGCCATCATGGGATAGTGGTTTGTACACTGGATGATGACTCTGGAGACCAAGTTTTGAATCCCAGCTGAAACCCCCTGGGTGACCTTGGACAAGTCACATGCTCTCAGCCTCAGGGGAAGCCAGTGGCAAACCTCTGAACTAATCTTACCAAGAAAACCCCATGGTAGGTTTGCCTTAGGGTCATCATAAGCTGGAAACAACTTGAAGGCACACAGCAACAACAATAGTAATAGTTGCGACATAAACAACTAGCAAAATTAAAATTATACTTTTAAATTTCAACATCATGTGCACAACCTAAAGGTAATTACATGTGCATAGCTTCATGTGGTTAAAGTGGAAATTTGGTAAGAGGTGATGTTTTTAAAGAAAATTTTAAAATAATGATTTAAAATGTAATTAAAAAAATAAATTTAAAATGTAAACTTTTAAGAAACAAAACCCTAGGGCAGGGGCCGGCAACCTATGGCCTGCAGGCCAGTTCCGGTCCAGGTCCCCACACTTACTGGCCCAGGTGGACCCCTGCCGCCGCCGTCGCGGCGCACCACCGCCGCTGCACGCCACCGCCACTGCGCATTTTGGTTGCCGTGCAACCGCGCACGGTACGGCCGCCATTTTGATTTCCAAAATGGTGGCCACGACTCCTTTGCGCATGCGCAGTACTCCTGTGCATGCGCAAATGTGTTGTGGCCGCCATTTTGGAAATCAAAATGGTGGCCACGATATGCGCAGAGGCGGCTGCGGCTGCGTGCAATGCAGCGGCGGCGGCAGCAGTGGTGGCGGCGTACGCAGGGGGTTGCACGCGGTGACAGGGGTTGTGCGCATACGCATGAGCGTGTGCCGCCATTCCCCCCCCCCCTTGGCCCGGCGGACGGGAGGACTTTGGAGGACCAGCCCCCAGCTCTAAAAGGTTGCCTACCCCCGCCCTAGGGTCTCTCATTTCTCCTCCCACTGAGCCTCACTCCCTTATGGTGTCACCTGGTGCAGTCTGCACCCCCATCACTCCCTAATGATGCCACTGGCATTTATCTCTGAACATCCGAACAAGAGGGAAATGATGGTTGTTACTTTGAAGGCAGAGCGGCTGCAGATGGAGGCATGTGAGTAAATTGCAGGGAGTGGACCTGCCACGTTGGTGAGCAGTAGATAATGAGAGCATTACAGTTTTTGGAGAAATGGTGTGAGACAAAATGAAAAGTCACTGTAAGTGCAAATGTGGCAACGATAGGGTCAAAGAACATATTACACAAACACACAAGAAATACCCCATTCCAGCAGTTCCTTTTAAACATGATTCCTCTAGGATTGGGGGAATTGGCACAGGTGAACTGACAAGGTGAGAGAATGCTTTAACTTCTCCAAATTGCCACATCCCCAATGGCAATTCTCCTCAAATTGTGGCCAGAATAGGAGCCAGCATAGCTTAGTGGTTTGAGCATTGGACTATGACTCTAGAGATCACAGTTCAATTCCTCACTCAGCCACGGAAACCCATGGGATGACCTTGCGTGAGCCACAGTCCCAGAAACCTCCATGATAGCTTCACCTTAGGTCAGGGTGCCCAGATGTCCTCCTTTCCCAGGATGTGCCTTACATTTCAAAATGTCCTCCATTTTGAGCATGGCTAAAAAGCATGAATTTATATTTGCGAGTGTTTTTAGTTTTTATTTTGTAACGTCCAAAGTTTTTTCCTGAATGTCCTACATTTTGCAGTGCCTTGTCTTCCTTTGTGGTTATGAGATCTGGTCACCTTTAAGGTCATTTTAAGTTGGAAATGACTTGCAGACACACCGCAACAACAACAGTGCCCAGAATGAAGGGAATCAGCTACAAGAGAGGGAACAGGTTTCTGTTCTGGATGCAGCAAAAGATGAAGGAGAAGAGCAGCTAGATGTAGATTTGACAGAGAGCAAGCTACGAGCAAGAGTGTGAGTAAAGCAGAAATTTCAGAAAAGAAGGGGTCCCAGAGCCAGAAGGGAAAAGGGAACCAGGCAGGGAAGTAGGAAACATATAGAGCACACGTCTACCACAGTTCAGGTTGAGACTCCCTTATCTGGAATCCCGAAATCCAAAGCATTCCAAAAACCAACACTTTTTTCATGGGTGGCTGAAATAGTGACACCTTTGCTTTCTGATGGTTCAGCGTGCAGAAACTTTGTTTCATGCACCAATATATATATATATATATATATATATATATATATATATATATATACTATAACATGATACATATAAATATTGTATAAATATAACATTACATAAAACATGACACAACATAAAAGATAACATAAACAAAACAATACAAAATAAATAAACATACAAAAATATATAAACATACAAAAATAAACATACATAAAACAATACAAAATAAATAAACATACAAAAATAAAAGAATTTATTTCATTTTCTTCATCTAATATCTTTCCTTCTTATATTTTTTATCATCAAAATACAACTGGCCAGATATTACAAAAAATACAAATGTTATTAAGTTCATCCTTAAAATTTCCTAATATCTTTATCTTTAGATATCATATTATCCATATGCTATTTATATTAACTAAATATTTCCATCATCTTAATGCATTTGACCGCACAAGTTTCACAGTATATCCTTGCTTTTCCTTCAGCCTTTCTTAAGTTCAAACATTTCCTTTTTCTTTGTCTTCCTCATCCTTCCTTTACCTTTTCTACCTACAATTTCATTCTGTCCCTTTGACTCCTCTGACTCAAAAATTTAATATAAGGGAAATTATTTTAAAATATTGTATAAAATTGCCTTCAGGCTGTGTGTGTATAAGGTGTATATGAAACATAATTAATTTTGTGTTTTACTTGGGTGGGTCCCATCACCAAGATATCTCATGATGTATACACAAATATTCCAAAATCCAAACCACTTCTGGTCTCGAGCATTTCAGATAAGGGAGACCCAACCTGCATACACACAGGAGTCCAAGTTGATGTGGTACTCAGGAGGAAGAAGTATGTAGAGAGATCTTGTACCACCTCTGAGACTAATTGAAAGAATTTGGCACCATGAAGTTTCATAGATTTAAGAGAAAGTTAAGCACACCATGCAAAACATTAGGGACTATGGATGGAAACCCCCTCTCAGTCTCCTAACCTTGATATTTTCTTCTTCTGGAGGAGCCTCAAAATCCCAAATAGTTGAGGGAGGAAACCCAAGCACCATCCAAGGTCTAAGCTATCCTGGCCATGTGCTTATAGGGTCTCTGTGCAAAAGCATCACACAACGGAAGAAAGATTGGAGATGGAATAGCAGAGAAAAGATTTGAAGGAGGCAGGATATTTTCCGTGATCAGGTGCGAAATAGACTTGAGTACCAAAGTGAGTCTCAAAGTTAGAAAGTCATAGTAAGACCTCATCCTCATCCTCATTCTCCTCCTCCTCCTCCTCCTCATCTTTATTTGTATCCCACTTTCCCACCAAAATTGTGACTCAAAGTGACTTGGTATCCACTGGGGTTTGGTTCCTGAATCCCACCATGGATACCAAAATCTGTGGATGCTGAAGTCTCATTAAATATAATGGCACAGTGAAATGGTGTCTCTTATATAAAATAGCAAAATCAAGGTTTGTTTTTATACATTTTTTAGAATATTTTCAAACCATGGATGCTTGAATCTATGGATAAAAAAATCCGTGGATACAGAGGGCTGACTGGACAATTAATAACATATAAAAGTGACAATTAATTAAGTAATTAAAAGTGACTTACCAAAGTGACAACCCTAAGAAGATAATCGATTACAGTTACCAGCCGAAAATCAACAGCATGTACTTTGTTAGAATATATATGTATCCTCTCCCATATATATGGGATGCATGGACAGAGTGACCAGAGGTCCTCCTTTTCCCGGACTTGTCCTATATTTCACATTTTCTGTCCAGGAAGAATTCCAAAATATCCTCCATTTTGAGCAGGACCAAGAAGTATGAATTTATCTTTATATAAGTCTTTTTAGCTTTTATTTTGTAATGTCCTGCATTTTTTCAATGTTCTACATTTTACAGTGCCTTCTCCTCCTCCATTGCAGTTATGACATATGGTCACCCTGAGCATGGATTTTTTTTATCCATGGATACAAGCATCCTTGGGTTCAAAATATTATAAAATATATAAATTCCAAAAAGCAAACCTTGATTTTGCCATTTTTATATAAGGGGTACCATTTTATTATGCCACTGCATTTAATGGTACTTGAGCATCCACAGATGTAAGTATCCATAGGAGATCCTGGAACCAAATCCCAGCAGATACCAGCAAACTACAAATCAAGGTGCCATGTTTAGATTATTCCAAACTAGCACCCAAACTTCACACAAAGCAGTTCAAAGAGCGTCCAATTTTTAGTTAAAAAGTATGGTAACTTATTTCTCATACAAAATAAAACATCAGGAAACTACTGGACTACGATTTAATTAGTGCAGCTGTGACCAAGTCTACATAGGGCCTCTACAGACTGGCCCAAAAGGTCGGCCTGGAGGCAGGGATGGGGAGGGGCAGCCACACACTGGGCGCCCCAACCCCACGCCGGTGGCTTCCTGACGCCGGATGGGGCACTAAAGAGCTGTGCACTGGATCTTAGGGCTCCCTTTTGTTGGCTCTGAAAGGAGTGGCATTTTGCCGCTCTTTTCCGGGCCGGCAAAAGGGAGGATCGGGGCCGACGCATCCGGCAGCCTCGGCCCCGATCTTCCACTTTCCAGGGTGGCCCAGGGTCCCCTGTCTGCATTTCCCCATAGAGACCACCAAATGCAGTGTTCAAAAACGCATCAAGGAACATGAGAGACCCTGCAGACTGTGTCAGCCAGAAAAATCAGCAGTAGCAGAACTTGTTATAAACCAACCTGGGCATAAAATTCCATTTGAAAACACTGAAATTCTGGACCATGCCAAAAACTATCAGGTCAG